GAGGTCAGGGAGAAGAGCTGGAACCTGGAAGCATGCAACGATTCATTAATGTAAATCTTTATTGTTTAAAAAAAAATCATGGGGGGGGGGGGCTACCATATTTTGTCTTTTTCTAAGGGGGGACAGCCCAATTTTTAATATACACCTAGGAGGGGACTTGTGATTATTTAACAATAACATGTGAAATTCACCAGCATCCCCTCGGTCAAATTAACTGGTGATTCCCTTATAGCCCTTCGTACAGTGCAGTACAGTACACGCAGCACTGTACGCAGGGCTAGGGACATTTTGCCTTGATCACAGGCGCTAGCTGTTTTTGTTTAATTGCGAAAACAAATAAATGTTAAATGTGATCCAGCACAGGGTTGTGCTTGGTATGGTGTGTGGACTGATATCTATCTCGTTAAGTATATATTTATTAATTAAAAAATATAAACAACTGATTAAAATAAAAAAAAGGGACTACAAAACAAAATTGTGTGACAAAATAATGAATCTGAAGCAGTCTAATCCTAAACTCTTCTGGAAACTTTTAGAGGAATTGGGCAATCTTGATGACATAAAGTCTGGTAATGATAGCATTAGTTCAGATTCATGGCTTGAACATTTCAAGAGTTTAAATAGCCAACTCTGTACAGGTGATGATAATTTGCCGAATTACATTAATGGCAATATCAATATAATGGAGAAGTCGAATGAAAATAATCTCAATCTGGATTTTCAGTTTACAAATTGTGAGGTACTAAAACACACTTAAATCAGGTAAAGCATCTGGTAATGATCTTATTTTAAATGAGATGCTTAAAAATGGTGCAACTTATATTGTTAACTCAATTACTAAACTTTTCAATCTAGTGTTAAAATCAGGAAAATTTCCATCATTGTGGAACTGCAGTACCATTACTCCTATTTTTAAATCTGGTAACCCAGCAGATTGCAACAATTACAGGGGGAGTAGCCATTTCCAGTTGCCTATCAAAATTGTACACAATGATTTTAAACAGTAGACTAACTATTTAAAAGAAACTAAGCAAGATAAGGATAACCAATTTGGTTTTAAGAAAAACCATCGTACCACTGACAATATTTATATCCTAAGGTGTGCAATTACAAAATATGTAAATAAGAAAATTAGAAATTTCATGTTTTGAAATTAGAAAATTAGAAAATTAGAAATTTCATGTTTTGTGGATTTTTCCAAGGCTTTCGACTCGGTTTGGCGTGAAGGTCTACTCTATAAATTACTTCAATTGGGCATAGGTGGAAAATTCTATGCTGCTATCAAGTCAATTTATAAAAATCCACGGTACAATATTAAATTAAACC